GTATAAATATTACTAAATTCTTGTGAATTCAAATTAAACACTATTCTTGAGAATTCAAATTAAACATTATCCACTTGTCGTTAATTCTTATACTTTGCAGCTAATATGGACACAGAATTTGTTCAGAATTTTCTTCTCTTTTTCAGTAAATTATTAATGACAAAATAATTGCGTTGATCATGATTGAGAAACAAATTGCAGGTTAAGGGAATAACATTTTTTTTATCGAAGGCATCGAAAAATACATTTTCAAATTTTAACTTAAAATTATTTTATAAGATTAATTGATTTTCCTGAATTGCTTTTTCGATTTTTACCCTGATGTTCATAAAATCGAATTAGCTGTATACGTTTTTATTAGATTATATTAAATTATTTAGTAGGGTATATTTAGTGATTCTAGTGAATTACCTTGTGGTAAAAGTATAGGCATACAAAAGAGAGTACAAATAGCATTTAATACAATTTTGAACAGCATTTAATACAATTTTCATGTTTAAAATAGAAGATTGTATATAAAAATTAATCACAGAACAAAATATTAGTACATTTATTCCTTCTTTCATATTACTTGAAAGTTAGATATATAATTTAATTGTCTTTGGTGAAGATTCTGAATATTTTGAATGTTTTCTTCCACAAGAGGCTAATTATGTAAATCAAAATGTAGGATTGATAGCATTAAGTTAGTTCTCTTTCTATACGATTTCATTGTTCATTCGTAATATATTCAAAATCTTTTTATTTCGAATTGAAATGGATTAATGAAACAGACTGGATAATTATAATATTATTCGATAAAGCAATGGAACGTAGAACCATTGAATCGGAACAAAGTGTTGTGTCATCATGACAAATGATTAAGTTCAATTGGAAAATTCCCTTAATTACTTCATTGCTATCTAATTATATTACCTAATTTATGTAGTGTATAATTTGTTTGCTTTAATGTAATAACACAATTGACAATTACGGTTATTATGCAGATAATCATTCAAATATATTGTAACAAAAGCAGTAAATCAATTTTATAATTAAGGAATAAATACTACACGAAATAGTGATGAAAAATGTATAAAATCGAGTAGCAAATATACGTTTTTTACACGCAATAAAAACAGGTTGTACACATTAAAATTCTGTCAAGCAAAAAGCATTACATAAACCATCGAACTTTGTACATACACCTTGTAAAAATAAACTGAAGGTACACAGTGTCATAGGACGTATAATTATCCTGTATGTATTTCAAACAAAAAAATTACTGGAAATTTGTTTATTGGTCTTGATATCACAGAAATGTAAATTTTACAAATTTTGTGGTTACAGATCAAAACATAGCAGAAATTTTATACAATTTAAGTTGAATGTTGAATTTTACGACTAATAATGAAATAAATATTGATAAATAAGTTGAAACTGATTTTTTAAGATAAATAACTTTCCAATACGGTTTTGGCACAGTACTTTCCCACCAATATAATATAATATTTTTCTTTTCATACTAATTAACCATTTAAAATGTTATTCCTTTCCTTTCTTCATTATATCATTCATTTAACACGAAAATTCAAAAAGTTGTCACACAGTCTCCATACACATGAACCCTTTACACTCGAGAGGTAACTCCCAGTCGCCATTTGATTAACGCACGAAAATTATAAAATTCTAAATTCAATATTAAATTTTACATACGGTATCAATACACAGAACATTAAAATAAAATACTTCTACCTCTTAATTGATGAAATAAGTTTTCTTTATCGAAAAATATCGCGTGCAAAGGGTTAAATGTTACTTCCTCAAAGTATACAAGCGCTCAGTTAACACACGATTTTGATACCGATAAAACTAGTTTACCGGTATTTCCCCGAATATTTCAAATTCATAAGATGCTTCGAGACATTTGTGGCCGAGGGTAGCAGCATGAAAATCGGCACGAAATTATGGGACGACCTAATGCTCTTACACGTGAGGGTAAACAGGACACTGTAAGTAGAACCGAATTTCTATGAATTTATGAATGCGGAAAACAGCTAGCAATCTTTCGAGTAAGAAGTATCGTGCGACCCGGAAAATCGAACGAAGACGAGAAACACGGAGTTTTATGCGAGAAAAGTGGGAAAACGGTTCGGCGCTGTGTCGGAAAATATGGTTGAATAAAATCGTCGAGGTTAAATGTTCATCGGATGGCACGAGAAGTACTCGAATACAGTGAGATTCGGAGTTTTCTGGCGATGAAGCCTTGACAGGCGGAAAGTAATAATAATATAGTCGATTTACCTTCAAGGAAAATTATATTCTTTTTTAAGTAAATTTGTATAACGCTGCTTTAACATTTAAAGTAATTAGCAATGTTTAATATTTAACAATCTATATTGGAAATTATTATTATTTTTTTATCATTATTATTATTAGTATTACTGTTTAATTTTTATTATTTTGAATTGTTGGTAGTATTACTATTAATTTTTAAGATGTTATTGCTGTTATTATTGGCTTTTTATTAATACACAATATGAAGTCACATAAATATGACATGAAATTTATAGTTTACTGTTTTGGACAAAGTATTGTGAAGTTTGGAAACAATTTGTTTCAATTATTTAAATGTGGAGTATCTATGATAATAATTGTCACTTTTTAAATGTATTGAAAGATATTTATAAATTGAAAAAGTAATTTTAAGTTTGTAAAGTTTATTTAGTAAAAATCAAAATGAAGGTACTATTTTTGGATGAAATGTGTCGGGCTCTCTTTCAGAAAATTGTAACTTGAAAACAGGAAATATGGAATCGTATAAAATTTCCATATTAATTGCATATTTATTGAGCACGAAAATTACACAATATTAAAGTTGATAGAATTCATTACCTGATAGGAATATAAATTGACTGAATCGTATTTATAAATATTTTCAATGTCGTTGAGAATGATAAGAAATAAAAGAAAAATTATCTTGACAAAAATTATATACATTTAAAATAAACAACTGAATAACAAATGAAATTTTTGTTTTGTTAATCACAATCAATGAATGATTTAATCTTGGAGCGCACAAAATTGGTTGATCAAAAATGACGACACATCTAATAATGAAATTGGAAAATACAATTTTATAAGCAAATATAACAACAAAGCTAATATTGTCGAAAATTTTAAAGGTTACAGCAAATGTAGACAGTTAATATTACCAAAAATCTCAAAGGTTACAACCCCCATCATTTTTAATGTTAAATAATGAACACTGGTAATCATTCCATCAGAATGGTAAATTCATTCAAAAAGTAATTTTCCCGGATAAAACTTTTAATCAAAATAATTTCCTCGCGAGTAATTTCATTAGTTTTAATATTCAGTAATTTTAAAAATTCTGAATTTACAGCCAGTTTATTTCGAAACATTTTGCGAATGTTTGAAAAAATGAAAATTCATGGTGTAAAATGATTGAAATAGAGAGCATATGTCATCATTTTATATTTTAATTTTTAATATTTCCTTTAAACATATAAAGATTTATTTTCAACATATAGAATTTTTAATTATCATACCATAGAATAAGTTCCCATTTACATTTTTTAAAATAGTATTACCAATTTGAAACAATAAAATTAATTCTGGAAGAAGTACATAGAATAATGTACAAATTACGTTAACTAAGTATACGATACCCGAAGAAAACTGTAATTAAAGTTTTAGTTGACAGAACGCCATTTCGTATGCACCGAATTAACATTTCCTTCATTATTCCTAACGACATTTCCTCCAGCTAACAGGTGAATAATTCGCTGCATTCGTATAGTTCATTCAATCAAATACCATTTGCGAGGAGTAACATTGCCTCCAGCTCCATCGACAAAATTAAACCCTAAAATTAACTGTTTGCTTCATACTATCTCAGTGATCAAAATTTTAATAAAAGTAACTAATATTATATAACGAATTTAATAGATATAACTAAATATCATTACTTTTCTTTTAAATCCCAATATTATCTCTCTTTTATTGATACTTAAGACCTAAACTAAACATAGATTTATGATAAAAACAGAATCTCTTCTCCTTTTACTTAATTATTAACCTTTTACACTCGAGAGTTTTTGAAATTTCTATTTCCATAAGAAACTGAGTTATGCATCGAAATCTTAAATATTAGGAAGAAAAAATCACATATGAGTCTCTAGTTATTTGAACAATTAAATTCTTCATTTGAAGCTTTCAGTTTTAGATATCAAAGCTCAAAGTCGCTATTATTTCTGCATTCGACCGCAAAGGGTTAACAAAGTAGTAAAACAGCTGCGAAAGAGATTCCAATATAAAGGGTTAAACAATTCAACCGCGAATCGAGTTTCACCCAGAAGAATAAACCGCCAAAAACCTCTCGAATAGCAGTGTCATCCTCTCAGCCGCCCCTCCCTTCAATCTCAACCATCCAACCCTCGGTTAATTATCCGGCAACGAAAACGGGAGCGCGCTCGAGCCGCTTCAATCCGGCGCAACCTTGAATTCCTCGTAAATCAGATCCTCATTGTCGAATTTTCAAAGCAAAAACCCCTCCGCCACCTCCGCCACCATCGACACTTATTAGAAAAGATAATTGTTCGGGGAATACAAAAATAGAAGCAATTAACAGAAACTATACTAATCAATTAAAAAAACGAAAAGTAATGAATGAAAGAATATACAACACTTCAAAAATGAAAGTGAATGGAACTGTTGACTTCAATCGAAACATTCACTAATTGTTCCCTAACCATCACAACAAATCTAATCACAGAACTCCCAATACTCTCACTGCTTCTTGTCCCCATAAACTTTCATTTACATACTACAGTTATACAAGAACAAATTCCAAATGAACGAACACATCCCAAAGAACCACAACCCAAATTAAGAAAAAACCATAAACCAATCAACAAACATCCAAATCGAAAGCAATTCCAACAGCTGACCCTAATCGAGCCACGATCGCTCCCAGATCCCCAAAACGTTCTAATCACATTTCAAAACTCTCATCACTGCTTCTTCACCTCCATTCCTCCAGGACAACTTTTCAATTCACAGGACCACGCACCAGGGAGAACTTTTACACCCCTCCGAATTCCAAATACAAACACGATCAAAAGAATGCCAGGATCTTGTAGAAACAGACTGAAACGCACACT